CAACAACTTATGATAAATTAGTGCTCATAAAAAAGCTCAAATATAGCATTTTCTCCTGATTAAGACATTTCCTGTTTGTAGTTCCAGGCAGCAATCATGAGGTTTAGGTGGTGAGATAGTTGAGCTGCACCGTGAAAAAAAAAGAGGCAAGTGACATTGTGATCATGTATCTCGAGGTATCTCACATATTTGCAATGTACCTATAGACAATTGTTTAACCATCGCTCTATTCGTGGCGTCAACACGTATCATATTCGATATCCAAGTTTGTGGCATGCACATTTCATTTTTAGAAACAATGCATTATGATAATTGGTTTTGTTCACATGTAGTTGAACGAGGGCAATGGCGGTGAATTAATTTATGTGCTTTCTATAATCACATGGTGATAATAAAAAAAACTTCAAAATGAAGTATGATAATTCCATTTGTATCTAAATAAAATTATTGAATTGATATTCTACAATATAAAAAATATCATTCAACGTGTCCTAGACAGCTATGGAGTACATGATGGGGTTTTTATGACAGCTGTAACTGTGATGTCTTCATGTTCAAGTCCACGTTCAGATTGCAATTGTTTGATCTGTGCATAGTTGTACAATACAGCAGAGCTCATGCATCAGTGTTGTAGTAAATGAGAATTTCTTTCTTCGGGTGTTTTTTAATAGCTTTACACATGATATCCTTTTGAAATTTACACTTTTGTAAATATCGTGTATAGACTTTTAAAGTTTGGTTTGAAGGACGATTTCCATCATTGAATTGTAATATAACATTCCACCAAAGCGGGGAGATTTACAACACTTGATCAGAGGAAATTAATTGAGATGTCACTCCTATACCATGCAACACAAAAAGACATTAACCGACATCCCGAGTCCCACAAAACAACAGGACGAAATTACAAACAAGTAACTAGTAGCATTACCTCTGTCCACATTTACATCACTCATGTCCGTCTCGTCGATTGTCGTATTACATCAAACTCCCGGATTTGAGAATTTAAGGGTTTCTTTTCAAAAGAGGAAAACAGGTCACATATACATTATTGAATAGATGTGCATACTGCAAATATTAGTAAAGAATTATTGAATTTATATATATTTAACAAATATTTACATTTCCGGTGTGTATCCTCTATATAAACCTACCAACGAAATTGACGTTTGCACTTCGGTAAACCTTACACGTATTAATACATTATTGGTAACCGTGATCTTCCCCTTCAAAGTAGCCGCATCACTGTAACACTCTTACGCAATTAATGTCAATGCGCAGTGATTTTTTTCTTCAAAGTTCTAACATTTAATAAACCTTTATTAAATTAAATATGTTTAATGAATATAAGTATAATGATAAAAGGAAAAAAATGTAAATTTAGATAGTAAATAATTCAAATAAATGATGCTATATTGTGGAACTATATTTGCTTACGTCTTGTGTATGACAATTGTTCCCGCCAAATTGGAGTCAGCATTGTTAGTTTTTGCCAATGATGAATTTGCACATCCACAATGTTTGTTGTGCAAACAGAACATAACAAGATGTGTTTATAAAACACTTTGTCCCCGGATACAACAAAATTCTGAAGTGTGACATTAAATCTGTACTGTGTATGGCATGCTGTAATTGCATGCACACTTTGTGAAACACTTATGTCTTCATTGTGGTAATAATTTTAACAGTTTAAGTTCAATAGTTGTGGCCGATGTTGCAATTTTTCAAATGTAGGTCAAAGGTCATGGTTTAGGTCACATGGTCAATAATTTTGGTATCACCGGATAGGTCTTGTCACAAGAAACACGCATGCCAAATATGTAGCCCTACTTCTTGCAATAGATCAGGGCAAGATAAATTTTGACAACATACAGCACAAAATCAATATTACCTACATAATTTTGACACAATGTTGTCAGGACTGATGTTAAAGACAGGGCATATTCCGCTTTGGGTGGCCTCTGAATGCCAACCGTATTTTAGACAATCGGAAGGTGTTGTTTCTGGAAACGATAGCAAGTCACTTATATCCTGCTTCATATTAAGGATAGAAATGTCACTTTTTTCTGCACCTGGATTGTTACCTGAGATTTGCTTGTATTTTTCCTATCAATTCTATTAACCCATATAATATTTCCCGTATCTTATCGTACACGACAAGTCCTATTACAAAGGGTGAGACAGGGTGAAAAATATTTAGAACCTACTGACGCTGGTATTACCTTTACAATAAATAAGCTTAGTCACGCAAACTTGAAACTTAGGATTTTACTTTTTTTTCTTCAAAATTGAACTTTCTCTGGTTCCTCAGCAGTGGGTTAGTATTATTATTTTCGTAATTATATCATTTTTCTGTTCATGATTAATTGTATAATAAGGTAATGATAATGAGAATTTTGCATCATTGCAATAATTTAACAATGCAATATATTGTATGCGTTTTTAAGCAGTTTTGGTCCTCCCGCTCACCCTTCTAGTTTCCTGGAGGAAGCAATTTTTAGTCACGTTACTATTGTCGACAATTTCGAGAAAGGGCATTAGAAATAAATAGTAGTAAGTGACAGGTTCAGTATATAGGTTCCCACAACAACCACAGCCTTTCACCTACCGTATTAACTAACAAACATTCTGCGTTTCGTTTTGTTTTGTTTTTTTTGTTTGTGTAAGCTGGACTATGATTGTACATTGCATTATATGTGAAACATGATCGCACAATTATAATGAATTGGTGTCTGTTCAACGGGTTGGACACGTCTCCTTTACATATCTAGGCTCTATTGCTTTCTCAATACAGTTGAAACTTGTTGTCTTGAGTCGAAATTCCGTTTGAGCCGAAATAATTTTCAAGCCCCGATTTTTTCCCTTCTATATCTTTGTATTTTTAGTTCAGATGACTCGAAATTCATTGAGTCGAAATTTCGGTTGAGTCGAACGATTTTTCAGTCCCTTCTATGTGAAGCACGGGAAAAGTCATTCGTTGTTTCGAAATTCATTTTTGTCAAAACATCGTCACGTCTTCTGACAAAGTCAATCAATACATCCAAAGAGTAGAAAATCACCCGTGCGTATCACATGGCTAATTATGGCGTATCGGTCAATCGTACACAAAACACTTGCTCACAGTCGAGTAACTACTAATTTAGCTATCTAATTAAAGGTTGAACACGGAACGACGTTGCATTTGATTGGAGTTGTCATTACCTGTTTTGTTGTTTGGATGAATAAACAATCAAAGGAAAAAATAGGATAAATTCATTTGTTTATTTACTTCCATTTCAAATATTAGATTAAACTACGTTGTTTGCGTGCTATCATAGCCCTGCTTCGTTCAACTGTAATCAACGCCAGGAAACTGATATCTTCAACCTTATTTATATACTTTGTTTGAGTCGAAATACGGATAAGTCGAAATATTTTCCACGGCCCCTTGAACTTCGAAATAACGAGTTTCGGCTGTACTTTTTCAAAAAATGATGTTGAATAATTGTTTAAGTCTAGGAAGCGACATTATTTAAACAAATCTGTAAATACATATACACACATACGGACACATATACATTCTGACAGTATACATGAAATATGTACATGATTTAAAATCCTTTGATAGTCAGCTGTATAACATACAGATTTTAAACAGGATTATAACAGTAATGTTACATTTCAGATATCATCTAATAGCATTAACGTGTTTGTTAAATTTTAGATTTGAAAATGATAACCTACATTGCGTGAAAAAAAGTCCTATCGTATTGTCTTGTGATCTGGAATGGAAATACTGACAAAATCATGGATCATAGTGCTAAATGCTCATATTAATAAATGTTTTCAAAAGAACGTCAGATATATATATATATATATATATATCACCACGCCACTATTCAAATGAAAGAAAACATGGAAAGTTACAACAAAGATTTGAGAGTGTAAATTCCACCAGGAACCACCAGGAATGTGCACGTACATAGGCGCAAATGGGTACCATCTGTCAATGTGGATTAAAAAAATTATGACTGTCATATTTGTTGTTTTCCCCAATAACACTAACACAGGATGTATTAATTTTTGGGACTACAGTTAGAGAAGCAGAGCCGAGGCGTGAACTAGAGACTATTAACATACTACAATTCAGTTTCATTGATTTCCAATAAAAGAATTATAATACATATATACTACGAAAATTTCAAGAAGGCGACGGCTCAGATTTTGAAAACATCTCGCAATGCCGACCACAAGGTGATATAAACCACAATAACAAATGAAAAGGGAGACAACCAACTGGTTACAAATAAATGTTCTTAATATTTTTTTTTGCGGCAGGAAGCTTTAAAAATGTGGAGCGGCGCTAAGTGAAAACCGTTGACGGTAATGTTATTACCCTCGATATAATTTGAACAAGTTACCTTAACAACTCTTAACTGAAACTTTTCCACTCACTCGGACAGGAAATTTAAACGTTATTAAAAACAGCTGCACTGGTTGCTTGCTGCGTTACTGAGTACGGCCACGTAATGTAGATTTTATGTACGTGATAAGCATAGCCCCGTTCCACCAAACATTTGTTAAAACCCACGGTATAGTCATTCAACGTCGTAGGCAAGATTATTCAATTAATAAACTGATTCTATATGATAAGCCGGCATCGTGAGAAAAAAATTCTGTCTAAACTGGCAAACTCGTCAGTTTTTCTTGATAATGACATATCGACATAACAATACTCCATTACTTAATAGTGAACGATTGGATAAACTTCATTCTTCAGCCAGGAGCAAATGGTTGTCAGTGCAGAGGTTTACAACACATAGCAACCGAGCCGCGTCACTGCGCTTTCCATGGAAAATTACCGCCGCCTTTCAAAACTGATCAGTTCAGTGATTTGATGCATTCGTTTTTTCTTGTCAATTCTGAGCCATATTGATCTCAATAAAAGTCGAAATATACGGTATTAGTTCCTTTACTTACTACCCAAGGCTTTTTTAAGATGAAGCTAATCTCGTTCTTACCTCCACCGTTCCTCATACAAAGGTATGGAAATCTCCAAAGATTTCCAAGTCCAACAGCATATCCCAGAAAGGACAGTAAAGAATCCAACTTCCCGGACCAGTGCTCCCTTTCATTATCAGTGTTTCCTGATGTGTCCGAGCTACAAGTTGATCCAGAATCATACTTCTCCACTTCTAACTTCACACTTTCTGGCAATTTGTGATCCATTTATAACTGAATGCTTCCCCGTCTCTTACGTCTTGTGCCACAGGAATAACGAGCGGATGCTTGGGTGAATGTAAACCTCGATAAGGCAGGTTTATTATTGGTAGCCTGAGGTATATCTCCAGTTGCGCTTGAGTAATTTCAATATTCTGTACAGAGTAATCAAATATCTGACGAGTACATACCGCGCTGATCACTGCGTTTAAAAATAAGTTTTGATAAAAAATTATATCATTAATCGTACAGTTGCACATGACATGTATCATTAGACGAATAGTTGTCCTTCATCACTGGACGTACAGTTGTTTAGGTCTTGTATCCCTTACGTACCGTTGTAAAGCCAGGACGATATGACAAACATCACGCAGAGTTATGTTAACAGAATTTGTTAAACAACTTACAGCGGTATTGAAGAAACAGCCAATTAGCACGACCTTTCTCATTTCAACGTGACATAATATGCTTGACCTAAATATTTTACTCTATTGTGGAAGAATCACACGGTCCCTTTACTTTACTAGGGTCTATATAATTTGGACAATGATTCAATATGTTGTGTAATTAATTTGTGTCGGGGGACATTTACCAAATACTACAGCATTTCACTAAAAGTGTACGTAGCTACAGAAAAGACATCCAGGTATATACATGAATATTACGTAACAGAAAAAGATACCTTTACCTTTATTACGTCCGCACATAATAGAACAAATATGATTGATGCCCCTTCTGCACTAAAGTATCAATAAAACTATTTGGTTAAAATTTAACACACTTTTAGAAAGAAAAGCTGATAATAAAAACTTTTTATGATTTTTTATTTTACTGCTATCCCCGAGTAGTTTTACTGATGAACCTTAAGAACTCAATTTAAAATCTTATATAAAGATTATAGGAAACGTGTTTTTTTTTTATCTATTTTTACACTTTTTAGCGTTGTCTATGTTGCTAAACGTTTCCTATATAAAATGCTTTCGTTGAAATCACCAGATGAGAAGTTGACCAGAATGAAGATCATATGGTGTATGTATTCACTGAAAAAGACTGTCAGATTGTTCATTGGGATATAGAAATCATCTGACCACAACTTTAGATATTTGTTTTAGTTTAAAAGCCAATAACTGAAGTAACGTGCATGGTTTCCAGAATGAATAGTAAGCGTCTATAATTCCCTCTACACCAAAGAACAGCAATTCAAATGCATGGTTATTTATATCAGGTGTGGAAATTTTTACGCGGAAAAGTTTTCCACAAAAATAATTTTCAAGGTCGACTGGATTTAATTGGTTTTCTGATGTAATCGAAAACAACACACAATGAACAAACGCAAAACTGCACTCTTAGCATTAGTTACCTGAACAAAAACAAGTTTGTTAGGGTGTATTTTGTTCACTCACTTCATCCTCATAGTCTGCCATGCATGCTGTGGATCGTAATAGTTCACAGCAGTTTAAACATTCCGTAAGACTATCAGCATTGACATTGAATTCAGGTAGCACATTCTCAATAGAATACGGGTATTTATTATCAGTTAACCAAGCCAATATCAACGTATCTCCCAGAAAAGCAAGGGCGGATATAGAATTGTAAAATTTATTAAAGTTTAAGTAGCTATCAAATAAACTGCCAGTTGGATGTCAACTACATTCTAATAGTTAGTATATGAACAGAAAACCGGACTTGAAGTGACGGTGAGGTAATTGTAATTTCACACAAAGAGGAGGATAGAAATATTTTTACTGTAGTTGTTTCCGTTTTCATTTCTATTTTGTCTCAAATGACAGAGGAAAGATTGATCTCATGAGAATAATCAAGAGCTAGAATTTATTCACCTTTGTCCATTTATGGAAATGAAAACTCTATTTCAAGTCGTTTATAATAATGAATTTTCATACTCCTATAGAGCTACTGCACAGTCGAATGCATGTTTTTGTTGTAAAGTATTTAATCTCTAAAACCTTCATCTGAAATAAACGTTGTACAATAAAATTTTCCTCGTGTCATTATGAGGGGAAGCAGTGTATAATTGATAACAAACTTGTCATCGATCTGTACTCCTTTCGATGCTTTGTACACCTTTTTCCTAAATTCTGAATGTAATATATGCAATTTCATGCAACATTACATAGACTGTTCAAGTAGATATCAGAGAAGAGTTGTTTTCAAAATATTAACAGGAGTTGCACTTTACCTTTCAGCCAGAAACGAGACTCTCTTTTCCTTTTTACCAATAATGAGACTCTCATTACCTGTCTACCAGAAATAAGACTTTCTTTTCCTTTCTACCAGAAATAAGACTCTCTTTACCTTTCTACCAGATATGAGACTATCTTAATCTTTGTACCAGAAATAAGAATCTCTTTACTTTTCAGTCAGAAATAAGATTCTCTTTACTTTTCAGCCAGAAATGAAACCAGTTTACCTTTCAGCCAGAAATTAGACTCTCTTTACCTTTCTTCAAGATATGAGACTTTCTTTACCTTTTAGCCAGAAATGAGGCTCTCTTTACTTTTCAGCCAGAAATGAGACTTTATTTACATTTCAGCCAGAAATGACACCCTCTTTACCTTTCAGTCAGAAATGAGATCCTCTTTATCTTTTAGCCAAAAATGAGGCTCTCTTTACTTTTCAGATAGAAATGAGACCCTCTTTACCTTTCAACCAGAAATGAGACCCTTTATACCTTAGAACCAGAAATAAGGCTCTCTTTACCTTTCAGTCAGAAATGAGACCCTCTTTACCTTTCAGCCAGAAATGAGATCCTCTTTATCTTTGAGCCAAAAATGAGGCTCTCTTTACTTCTCAGCCAGAAATGAGAGTACCTTTACTTTAGAGTCAAAAATGAGGCTCTCTTTACTTTTCAGCCAGAAATGAGAACCTCTTTACCTTTCGACCAGAAATGAGACTCTCTTTACTTTTCAGTTAGAAATGAGACTTTCTTCACCTTTCAGCCTGAAACGAGGCTTTCACAATTTCAGTTCTCAGCTTTCCCATTTAACTATATAGAAGATTCAGTTTCTACATTTTCAATGGCTAACTTATACAGAATGTTATAAACATGGGCCATTAAGTAGGTATTTGAACATCAAGTTTGTCAAAATAATGTTTCCCCACATATATTTCTGAGCTGTATCAAATAACACAGCGATGATTTGAGATGCCCCATTATCATGTTACAGATGAGGCTATTTGATATGGATAGACTTATGACGGTACGTACGTCCAAAACACGCCCAGATTTATTAGGAGAGGAGACATGGGCTGTTACTATGTAAATATCGCAAGCTTAATATTAGCTGTCTGAAAACGGTGTATTTGCCTATTGACGACACATTTTTGGTGAACACTTAGGAAAACTTACATTAAATTCTAGGGCTCATTGCTAATACACGTGACATCAATGCCCTAGTCTTTGAAAGCAGTTATTCACTCGTATGTCTTTTGTTCGACCTTTGTGATTGAGGTGATTGTGGTATTCATTCCCCGAGATTTGCCGTTTCCATTAACGGTACAGTTCATAATACATACAGTTATTCCTTTGAAATTATGTTAATCAATTCCACGAAATTTATTCAATTATGGGGTTAGTGTACCCTCTATCTGGTTTTGAAATTTATTTCTACCAATTTTGAATTTCCTCATTCGCTTTCTAGGTATCATCAATTTAGGCCGTATGTATCACGGACGAGGTCTAGAAGGACGAACTAACTGCAGTATGCAGATTAATTATTATTTGATCTTACTTATTCTAAATTTGCACTGAAATGTGATATTCATTTGTGTCACGTAAGTGCAATCATATAAGGTGTTTGCTATCAAACAATGCTTCACCAAGCTTCTAACAACGTGAAAAAACTACTTCTTGGCTTTAAGTTTGACAGATCCTTTACAAATAATAACGCATGTGAAACTGAGCTATGAACAGACTTTGTTTCGATCAATTCCAATAAATTTATTTATGGCTAATAAATATGAAAGCATGGTTAGGCACAGGAATCCGACCCTGAAGTAACACTTCGAAAAAAGCTTGATTTTCACTACTCTTTGGCCCCTTATGTCAATATTCATCACAATACATATCCATCTAAAAGTGGTATGGAAATAAGCATCACTACTCGACTCAATAACCTAATTAACATAATAACTACAAACTATTAAAAACACTTGAACGTTTTGAGCCTTCAATACGATAATGATGTTCCGCTAGTGGCTAACATGTTTTTGTATCTATGTTTTTACCCTTTTCTCAGCTGTGATGACTAAACTCTAGTTGGGAAAGCTGCATACGATATATTAAAAGCCTAACACACTTTGGTATATTTCCAGTATACATGCGTTTATTTCATATCATTCTCTGATTACTTACAGTCATTAAATTGATAATATCATAGGGCAATTTGAAGTGAACGGTTTACTTAGATGATTCCTACTTTGTTGTCAGTTCCTTAATTGAAAAATCCTACATGGGAACAATACTTGTTTGACGGAGTTTTATCAATCATATTCTTAATTGGTAACGTCAAGTGTACTCTGTATACGCCTACCTTATTTTTTAGATCTCTTGTCAGATCCACTAATAAAAACATGTGGAAGAAGTAACTATTACACGTGCCAACTTTACAAATTATCCTTTACATACATGATATATATAACAAAACCCACCTTTACATTCTCAAATCTTGTGTACTATCGGTCGGCCCACATAGACAGACGGTAAGCTCTACACTATATTATTTACAGGAAATAAGATACAATGAAGATGATATAGAACTGCGTCACAGTGACCTACTTATCATTTATATATTGTTTTTCAATTTTGTCCTGTACAATCTTGCACTACTTTTAAGGGTTAGGCAGTTTAAACTTGAGCATGTTACATCATAATACTGTTCATGTATTTGGATACAAGATTCTACTAGATTTGGGTCTTTAGCATTCAGCTGATTACACAAGCTTCCAATAAAAAATCGAAAAAGTGCCCGAGAGGTATTTGAAACAGCAAC